CCAGCCGCTACTTTCTAGAAAAAAATATTATTTTAAAAAAATTACAATAAAATATTCTACTCCGTCTCATTTAATCCTCCTCTCCTAATTTTTTTAATTATATATTTTTCTCATTTTACTATATATGATATATACATATATTTTTAGAAAAATATTGTTTTCTACTTGCATATCAAATATGACAAAAATATTTATTTATTTTTTGCGGCAAATAAGAAACACTTTTGCTAAAAACATATGCATACATCAGCATTAAAGAGAAAAACAGTTGATAGCTAAGGGTTCCATAGTAAAGGTAGATTTTTTTTTTTTTAAAAAAAAGTTAGGGAAGGAGGAAATGAAGTAAGATTTTTGGGATTATACTACTTTAATTTATATTTATAATTAATACATGTAATATATTTATCCTTTTATTAAGATTAGAGTTATTAAAAAGGATAGATCAATATATTCGGTTCAACTTTCGCGGGTCAAAGAATTTAAAGGGTTAGTAAGTGACTGATCCTTAATCTGGAAGGGCTTGAAGCTGTTCAACCAAATCAATCCTAGAAGGATCAAGGGCTTGAGCGGGCTAACCTTCTATTTTTTTTTTCAAACTTAAAATTCTTGAACATCAAGAAAATGAGTAGATTTAAATCAAATATGACAAACAGTGAACACTATCTTAAATCTAGTGTAGTTAACATGCATCTAGAATACTAAATATGCGAGGTACATGTATCTGGTGTGGTATATCCCAAATATGTGAGTGAGATAAGAGAGTGATAAGCGAGATGAGAGGGAGACAATGGCGCAAAATTTGTCTATATATTCTAGATACATGTGATTCCACCTGGATATGTATCTATAACAAATAAACTTAATTTTGAGTCTATGTATTCTGAGATACACGAATCTAGACGTATCAAAATATGATAAGATTCATAACATTACAACATACAGTGTATTTAAGTAATTAACACATATACTAGTGAGATTGTTGTAAATTATCTTTAAATAAAGAGTTTTGGCCAAGGGACTGACTCCGTCCCGACCTCAATCAAGCCGTAAGGGCTTATATGGATTGTGCTTATAAGTCTTAGTTTTAAATGATCTTGAAAAATCATATCCAATCCTACTTCAATAATGGATAGGGTTGGGCCGTCCTCATGGGCTAAGCTTATTTTGACGGCTCTAATAAATATATAATATTTTGTTCATGTAGGTGATAATTATTATTTTTTCAAATAAAAGAGAGAAACACATTTTTAAACTAATAAGAGATAATTTAGATATAAAACTCGAAAAAAATAATTTTATATGTGTTTTTTAATATACCAAACAATACCTTAAGTTAGTGTTTTGCTTTAATATATTACATTTCGTTCTTAAACCCCCCACCATAGCACCTCGTGTTGCGTACAATACCAGCAGCACAACGTACACCAATGGATGCTAAGATCGGAAATTTCTTCGAGTCGGTCGGAAATTTTTTCATCGGAGTAGATCAGATTCCTTGGTGCGATTCCGATATCGTCACTGTAAGTACACTAGTTACCATTTTTTTTTTTGCAATTTGATTTCGGCAACTGTAGCTGATTGGATATAGACGAAGAACTGTTTGTCTGGGGTTTTCAATGAATTTGCTATTTCATTCTATATCTCTGTTTGTTTGTCTGTAATTTTGTGTATTTGGTTATTTGCTTTGAAGTTCAGAGTGAAAAGAGGTAACCCAGAAGGGTTTTGTGGCAGATTATGGAAAAAAACTCGTTTCAGTGCATGTTGAAGGATTACCATAGCTGGATGTCTTGGTTTGGGGGTAAAAATGGTTAGGGCTAAGTTGGATGTAGAATTTTGGATAAGGAGGAGATTTTGATTTATATGAATATATTTGCAATGGATTTGATTTATATACATGATAAGTCTACAGAGTTTTTGTAAGTTGGCTATAGCAAGTGATTTCTCCCTTCTTCTTTTTTCGGCTTTCTTGCTTGTTTTTTTCGTGTTTTTACTTTCAGTTGTTGGTTTTTGAGGTCTTGCATATTGGATGGAAAACAAAGATTAATCAAGAAAGGTATATATGTATTTGGCTTTTGAGTTACATTGCTTGTGATCTCAATCCTATAAGTAGCAGAAATCAGTAGCACTAGTCGAGAAAGAGATGTATGTTAGAGAAGCACAACTACCCGAGAGACGGAAATCTTCTAGGAATTAGGGCTAAAGTGAGTAGTGGCCCCAACTTTACTGTAAACTATTTGTAGAAGTTTTATAGACTGTTGTTGCGTTTCTTTGTTGGAGGACTGTTATAATTCTAACGACTATTTAGAGGTCAGATGTAACTCTCGCACGATTTTTGAACACGAACAAGAGGCATTTAAAAAACATCTGAAGTCCATTTTGGCCACAAACCATTCCACTTACGACAATGGAAATAAAAAGCTTAGATGTGTACATTCTACCCTCCCTAGACCCCACTTGTGAGATTACACTAGGCATGTTGTAGAGGTGTCTGTTCACTTGGCTCCCTGTTGCATCAGTGGTGATTTCTTGAATCATCTTTCTTTGTTCAAACTTCAAAGCAAAAGTCGTTCTGGCCGTGCCATCAATCTATAGGGGGCATGGTGTTGATTGTTACGACACAAACAAAAGGGAGAGTGCTGGTTGAAGGATAGCAGAATTGGTGTCAACTATTATTTAGTTTTTGAAAAGCTCTCTCTGAATATCTTGCTGAAAGAGGCTGCCTTTGTTCAAGAGAATAATGTGTAATTTGTAATAGATTTTCGGTTCCATGTGCATTTACTAGCTGTATCTGAAGGCTATATTAACGGTATCTGAGTCTCTCACAAGGGCAATCTATGTACAGGGTTGTGAACGTGAAGTTGCTGAGGCAGGAAAAGGTTCCTCTGATGAACTGAAAAATGAATGCATCATGCGTCTATCATGGGCTCTTGTTCACTCAAGACGTCCAGAAGATGTACAACGTGGAATAGCAATGCTTGAAAGTGAGATCATTGGAATCCCTTTTTTTTTGGAATCCATTCATCCTTTTCCATACCCTGTGCTTGGAGAGTTGAGTTTCACGTGAACTTTGATAAACACTTCGACTTATATGTTTGTCCTTTCCCTAGCTCTTATGCATTTCACCTTTTGACTCCTCTACTCTTGCCTCGTGCTTTGCAATTCACTGTTTTCACCCTTCTTATGCTAGTTTCCTTCCTTAGCAAAAGCTCCAACTTATTTTGTCATTTGCAGCTTCTCTGGGTGGCAGTAATAGTCCCCTGCAAATGAGGGAAAAGATTTATCTTCTGGCCGTTGGCTACTACAGAAGCGGGGACTATGCAAGAAGCAGGCAGCTTGTTGATCGTTGTTTGGAGGTTTGATCTTTGTTATTTTATCTTCGCTAGTATATTTTATTCACCTCTTCACTTTGACATTAAAATCTGAGATATTTATCTCTTTGTTCCCCTACTTTTATCTTGAACAATTTATCTTTCTGCAGCTTGATTTATGAAATTCAAAAATTCTTACTCGAACTTCATTGTGTCATGCAACTCTGAAGTTTTACTATTTCATTGACTTGGCTGAGTACCTTTCAAGTTCTTTCTTAATCATTCTGCCTTAACTAGTAGTTGTTTGAATCTATAGATTGAACCGGAGTGGAGACAGGCCTTGACCCTCCGGAAAACTGTTGAAGATAAAATTAAAAAAGGTATTAAGCCGAATCTTTTTATTTATTTCCAGTCGAAGAATGAAGTTATGAATTATGTATATTCATTGTCGAAGCAGATGGAGTAATTGGCATTGGCATTGCTGCTACTGCTGTAACTGCTGTTGGACTCCTGGCTGGTGGACTTGTAGCGGCTTTGTCTCGCAAGAAATGATCCATCAGTAAAATCACTAACATGCATATGATACTTCGTCACTCTGGTTCGTGTATACATCTGAGGCTATCAACTCCTATTCGCTAGCACTTAGTTTCGATACTTATCTTTCTTTGTTTGAAACACTGACATACTGCAACTGAAGCAAAATGATGTATGTTGGCTTTGCTTGACTTGATTGTCTAGTTTATATGTGAAAAAACAACAGTGACTTGTCGATGTTGTTGTTAATCGTAGCAGAAAGTTAGATCCTTTATCCCTTTGATATACAGGTTTCTTTGTGTTATGAAGTCTCAACTCTTTTACAAGATGATTCTTTGTGTTATGAAGTCTTGACTCTTTTACAAGATGATTCTTTGTGTTATGAAGTCTTAACTCTTTTACAAGATGATTCTTTGTGTTATGAAGTCTTAACTCTTTTACAAGATGAATTGAAACGTAAGAATAATATGCTTCAACTGATTTTTTCTTAAAATTTATTAATGAAACGTAGTAAAATATAGCAAGATCATGAAAAAGTGGAGAACTTCTTTCATTGCCTTTTTGACATAAGATTAATCAATAAAAAAAAAATAGAACTATTTTACAGAGGGTGTTTTATATTACAAGATTTAAAAGGTACAGGAAAGGATTAAGAACATGGAGACTAAGGAAAGATGAAAAAAAAGGGAATATAGGTAAGGGTGGCAAAATCAAAATCAATTCGGCTTAATTCATTTATGTTATTGGTTGGGTCATGACCCGTTTTGGCCTAAATAAATTTGGGTTGGGTCTTGATCCATTTTGACTCGCCCAAATTTAATCCAACTTGTCTAATTGTCACCCGTAATTATATGCTATATACTCAATTTCTTTCTATTTGATTCTCTTAATCCGTCTTCTTTGAGTCAATTGTTTTGTCAGATTTCAAATATCTTGTATCTTAGAATTTTAAGTTGAAATAATAAATCTATTAATACAATTATTTACCTTGTCCTCGCCTGTCTAATAAAACCTACTATGAAATATATTGTAACTTTTTTTAAATTACTAACAAACAATGTGCTGTATTACATTAGCTTTTTGACATTGACTAAATTTCTCCATATCTCTATAACAATATTTAATGATGATAAGTATCATATAAGACTCTGTGGCCCAATGGATAAGGCGCTGGTCTACGAAACCAGAGATTTTGGGTTCGATCCCCAGCAGAGTCGTTATTATTTTTTTGTTTTATTTTAATTAATTTTCTTGTGAATTTCCAAGATTTATAGAAAAAAAATAAAATTAGATATTTTAGTGGTTAGCCACACCAAATCAAATAATTAAAGGAAGAAAAATATTATAAAAACTGTTGTAAATCATTGTATATGTGGATGATCCATTAGATTTATCTAACAATTAATTGGATTCATGTATTAGTGTTTCCAATATGATAAGATTTCAAGGTGATATGAACCTTGATGATAACTATGTATAATTCCAAGGTGACCTTTGACTATGATATCTCAACACTATAAATAGAGATATCATTCACTATTGTAGAACACACTTGAATAAAAAAATATTCTCTCCTCTATCTTATACTTTTTGTCTTTTTCTTCTTATATTTTGAGCTTTTTTTACAACACGTTATCAGCACGAAGTTGCTACTTGCAAACGTATTATATAAATAATTTTATTTTATTCACATATTCTCTCATAATTTCATTATGTCGAATTTATCCAAATTTGAGTTTGTGGCATTAGATATTTCTGGAAAAAATTATCTTTCATGGGTACTCGATGCTGAGATTCACTTGGCTGCTAAAGGTCTTGATGCCACTATTACTCAGGGAAATGAAGCATCTAGTCAAGATAAGGCGAAGGCTATGATTTTCCTTCGTTTTCATCCTGATGAGGGCCTGAAGATTGAATATCTGACGGTAAAAGATCCACTTGAATTGTGGACTGATTTAAAGGGGAGATATGACCATCTAAAGACAATAGTGTTGCCAAGAGCTCGTTATGAGTGGATGCATTTACGGTTTCAAGATTTTAAGACCGTAACTGAATACAACTCTGCTGTATTCAGGATAACCTCCCAGTTGAAATTATGTGGGGAGACTATAAAAGATGAGGACATGTTGGAAAAGACACTTACTACTTTTCATGCCTCAAATGTGATATTGCAGCAACAATATCGTGAAAAGGGTTTTCAAAAATATTCTGAATTAATCTCATGTCTTTTGGTGCTGAGCAACATAATGCTCTTTTAATGAAAAATCATGAAGCTCATCCCACTGTAGTTGCTCCATTACCGGAGGCAAATATGGTGGAAGCACATGATCAATCTGAAGTAAAAAGAGATGATCATCGGGGCTATAATAATGCACGGGGACGTGGCAAAGATAAAAGACGATACACTAATCGTCAAGGTGGTGGTCATAATAAAAGGGAGAACAACATGAGTTCTCAAAATAACCCCTCAAAAAGTAATTGTCGTCGTTGTGGCATGAAAGACCATTGGAAGAATGAATGTCGCACACATGACCATTTTGTAAGGCTCTATCAAAATTCCTTTAAAAAGAAAGGAAATAAAAGTGGTGTTTCCTCTTCCAATGCTCGAGCTGAGTCACATATGACTCTTAAAGATGATAATAAGACGGGAACATCTCAGAAATATGATAAGGATGTTGAAGCAAATTTGGCTTTAAAGGATGATGTTTTTGATGGACTCATATGGAAGTTGATGACTTCCTTGGAGATCGAAACTAATGTTTGATCTTTTAGCGGGGAATGAAGTTTGTAATATTTTACTTGTGTGTTTTTAATTATTATGTTATTTATGTTGAAGTATTTAAATTTCCGTTGTTAATTTTGTTTCTTCCTTCTTTTAATGTATTTTATTTTAATGAAAATTAATAGAAATCTCCAGTTGTTAGTTGGATTCAAGATGAGTAATGGAGATGTATGCCTTCTTGATAGTGCTACAACGCATATAATATTAAAAGAAAAGAAATACTTTTCTAATTTGGTTATGAAAATGGCATATGTCAACACAATATCAGGTAGTACAAAATTAATTGAGGGCTCTGGAAGAGCGACCTTATTACTACCTAGAGGGACAATATTAAGCATTGATAATGCATTATATTGTAGTAAGTCTCAAAGAAACTTATTAAGTTTCAAAGTTGTTCGCCAAAATGGCTATCATGTTGTGACGGCTAATGAAGGAAAGGTTGATACCTTTACATTACTACAATTAATGTAGAGAAGAAAATTGTGCATGAAAAATTACCTGCACTTTTTTCTGGGTTGTACTATACAAGTATAAGTACAATTGAATCACATGTCGTAGTAAACAAAATGTTTACTAATTTTAATGATTTTATCATTTGACATGACCGGTTGGGCCATCCCGGATTTAATATGATGCGCAAAATCATTGAGAATTCACATGGACACACCTTAAAGACCCCAAATATCCTTCAATCAAAGAAATTCTCTTGTGCTGCTTGTTCTCAAGAAAAGTTGATCATTAAACCATCAACAGTTAAGGTTGGAATTGAATTCCTTGCGTTTCTGGAACGTATACAGGGTAATATATGTGGACCAATTCAACCTGCATGTGGACCCTTTAAATATTATATAGTGATAGATGCTTCTACAAGATGGTCACATGTGTGATTATCAACTCGCAACATGGATTTTGCGAGATTGCTGGCTCAAATAATAAGATTGAAAGCACAATTTTCAGACTATACAATTAAGACAATCCGTCTTGATAATGCCGGTGAGTTTACATCTCAGGCATTTAATGATTATTGTATGTCTACTGGTATAACAGTTGAACATCCAGTTGCGCATGTTCACACTCAAAACGGTCTAGCAGAATCATTGATTAAACGTCTGCAACTGATAGCTAGACCATTACTAATGAGAACAAAGTTATCTGTGTCTATGAGGGGCATGCTATTTTGCATGCAGCAGCACTTGTGCGCATAAGGCCAACCAATTATCATTAATTCTCCCTATTACAATTGACTTTTGATCAAGAGACAAACATTCCCATCTTAGAGTTTTTGGATGTGCGATGTATGTCCCAATTGCTCCACCACAACGCACAAAGATGGGGCCCAAAAGAAGGTTGGAGATATATGTTGGGTATGAATCTCCTTCAATCATAAAATATTTGGAGCCTATGACTGGAGATTTATTTAAGGCAAGGTTTGCTGATTGTCATGTATACCCAACATTAGGGGGAGAACATAAGTCGTTGGGAAAAGAGATAGATTGGAATTCATCATCTCTATCTCATCTGGATCCTCGAACAAACCAATGTGAGCAAGAAGTTCAAAGAATAATTTATTTGCAGAACATTGCAAATCAGCTACCAGATGCAGTTACTAATCTTCCAAGGATTACTAAATCGCATACTGCAGCTGTTAATGCTCCAGTTCGAGTTGATATCCCGACGGGACAAATTGTTAAGGCAAATGAGTCTAGACCACATTTGAAGCGTGGTAGATCAATTGGTTCCAATGATAAAAATCCTCGAAAGAGAAAAGGAATAAATGATCAAGATGATCATGGGTTGAAAGAAATTTCTCAAGTTGAGACCCAAGTCCTAACACATGATGATGAGGAGGTTCGAACTTTTGAAAACAATGAAATTTCAATGAATTATGTCTCGACGAGAAAGTTGTGGAACCGAAATAATGTTGTGATTGACAACATATTTGCCTATAATGTTGCTATTGAAATAATGCAACAAGATGAAGATTTTGAGCCAAAATCTATTCATGAATGTAGACAGAGAAATGATTGGCCAAAATGGAAGGATGCAATTCAAGCTGAATTGGCTTCACTAAAAAAACGTGAAGTTTTTAGACCGATAATTCGAACACCTGAAGGTATCAAGACAGTGGGGTACAAATGAGTTTTTGTATGAAAAAGAAATGAGAAAGGTGAAGTCATGAGATATAAGACCCGACTCGTTGCTCAAGGTTTTTCTCAAAGACCTGACATTGATTATATGGAGACATATTCTCCAGTGATAGATGCAATAACCTTCAGATATCTCATAAATCTGGCAGTTCATGAAAAACTTGAAATGCGTCTGATGGACGTTGTCACAGCCTATCTATATGGCTCGTTGGACCACAACATTTTCATGAAAATTCCTGAAGCATTCAAAGTGCCTGAAGCATACAAAGATTCAAGAGAAACTTGTTCAATAAAGCTTCAGAAATCTCTGTATGGATTGAAACAATCAGGAAGGATGTGGTACAATCGTCTGAGTGAATATTTGTTAAAGAAAGGGTACAAAAATGACCCGATTTGTCCCTGCATTTTTATTAAACGGTTGGGGTCTGAATTTTTAATAATAGCTGTGTATGTTGATGATTTGAACATCATTGCACTTGTAAAGAGTTGTTAGAAGCTGTTGAGTGTCTGAAAAAAGAATTTGAGATGAAAGATCTCGGCAAGACAAAATTTTGTCTTGGCCTACAAATTGAGAATCTGTCAAATGGAATACTTGTTCATCAATCAACGTACACAGAATAGATACTAAAGCGTTTTTACATGGATAACTCACATCCATTGAGTACTCCAATGGTGGTAAGATCGCTTGACATCAATACAGGTCCATTTCGACCTCAAGAGAATGATGAAGAGCTTCTTGGTAATGAAACTCCTTATCTTAGTGCGATTGGGGCACTAATGTACCTTGTTAACAATACTCGACCAGATATCTGTTTTGCAGTAAGTCTTTTGGCAAGATTCAGTTCTTCCCCAATAAAAAGACATTGGAATGGTGTTAAACACATACTTCGATATCTTCGGGGGACCATAGACATAGGTTTATTCTATTCCAATGAATCCAAGTCAGAACTGATAGGTTATGCAGATGCAAGGTATTTATATGATCCGCATAAAGCTCGATCACAGATAGGCTATTTGTTTACATGTGGAGACACATAAATATCTTTGCGATCAATGAATCAAACGTTGGTAGCCACTTCTTCAAATCATGTAGAAATGATAGCCATCCATGAAGCAAGTCGATAGTGCGTCTAATTGAGATTAACGATCCATTATATTCAGGAAATGTGTCGTTTTTCTTTGAAAAAGAATATACCAATCACAATGTACGAAGATAATGCTGTATGTATAGCTCAATTGAAAGGAAGATACATCAAAGGAGACCGGACAAAGTATATCTCACCAAAGTTTTTTTCACGCATGATCTTCAACAAAATGGTGGATAGAAGTTCAACAAATTCATTCAAGTGATAATCTTGCTGATTTATTCACTAAGGCATTGCCAACATCAATGTTTGAGAAGTTGAGATACAAGATTGGAATGCACCGTCTCCGAGATATTAAGTAAAGTTTTCATCAGGGGGAGCGAAATATGCGTTGTACTCTTTTCCTTAACTATGGTTTTTTTCCAAGTTGGGTTTTCCTGGTAAGGTTTTTAACGAGGCAACATTCAAAGCGTATTATGAGATACGTGTACTCTTTTTTCTTCACTGGGTTTTTCCTAGTAAGGTTTTAACGAGGCACATAATCTATGGATATCCAAGGGGGAGTGTTGTAAATCCATTGTATATGTGGATGATCCATTAGATTTATCCAACAATAATTAATTCATGTATTAGTGTTTCCAATATGATAAGATTTCAAGGTGATATGAACCTTGATGATAACTATGTATAATTCTAAGGTGACCTTTGATTATGATATCTCAACACTATAAATAGAGATATCATTCACCATTGTAGGACACACTTGAATAAGAATATTCTCTCCTTTATCTTATACTTGTCTTTTTCTTCTTATATTCTGAGCTTTCTTTACAACAAAAACTACCTTTTCAATTTATATTTTATATTATTATATATTATTTTTAAAAATAGATATTAAGTAAATTAATGAACGGAACAAACATATGAAAAACCACTCCATTCCATCAACTTAAAATTTATATGTGAAAACGATCAAAATACTCATTTGCTTTAGTCTATTAGCTAAGTTTCTCTCTAGCCTCTTATTTATATACTAATTTTCGAGCTTGTGTGTTGCACGTGTATTCCAAGTTAAGTAATAGTTTATTAAAATAATATTGAAATTAATGTGGGGATGAGTATATGAACTTTTGAAAGAGATAGGTTATTTTTTGCTTGAATTAAACTTTAGAGCGCTTTCATAATTGAATTTAATAGAAATAATTAGTTAAAATGTATATATAATATCAAATGTAACATGACAATATATTAAGATCAACATGCTTCATGCGATGCCATGTCAAATTAGACAAAAAACTACAAACAATAAATTAATCTTCTAAAATACAAGTTCATCTACAATATATCATCTCAAATATAATAAAAATTATCGATAGTAATTCATGCAATTATATATTCAAGTGTAACCAGAATTAAACTTAATACCATAAAGAAACAACAACTTTACTAATCAACATCACCTGGAGTAAACTACCACAAAAATACCAAAAGAAGGAATTTGATTGAACAGTAAAAATATGTCTTTAAACTTTATGTGACCATTCAATTTGATAAGATTTATTTAGTTTTTAACTACTTTAGTTTAAGATATTCTATTTATCTAATAGTATAGCTAGATACATATTAAAACCTTGAATATACTTTTTCCTTTAAAGCTTGTATCTCCAAATATGCAATCACATTATTAATAAATTTAAGTTATTATTATATTTCTAAAGAATAACATAAAATACAGTACATTAAAGGTAATTCATAGGTGCAAGAGAATTTTCTTTCGAAGTTATAGAATAATATTATAATAAAATGATACGATGTAAAAATATATATGGTGTGCAACTTTTGTTCGCCTAGTCACCACAAAGTACGTCACCATCAAAAAGAAAAATAACATTAGAGTTTTTTAGCTTTTCAACTCTAATAATAATCATATGACGGGTATAGTAGTATTCCATGCAATATGTATTTGGGCCTTGGTGTGAAAAGGATAAAACAAACAATAAAAAATTAAATTTAAAAAGCAAACAAAATAAACCAAATATAAAAGAATAAATATATAATAAAATCTATAAACATAACATAATATATAGATTTTATTTCATTCAACATCACTTAATCCTTGAAAAATGACAACAGATATCAAATGATACAAGAAACAAAATAATCTCTTGTTTTTCATTATTCCTCACACCTTGATAATGAAGCTGGTGAAAATTCTTTCATATCATTAGCATTTCCATGATTCATTATCTTAACAAAACAAGCAAAATAAAAAAAATAACTAAGATTACTTCATGACAAAGTTTACTACATTTTCATGAGGCACACAAGTGTATTTATAAGTTAATAAGTATATAATGTCATACAAAAACTCAAAAGTCATGCTGAAAAAAAATAAAGTCATACAAATACCTCTTAGGTTCTTCACTATATAAGAGTTGTATCTGATTATGAAATCGTTAAATATTATCCTTATCATGTCCCCTCAACATAGGCTCAATTTGCTTGAGACCGATGTCGTTAACAAGGTGGATAAAGGACGTTTTGGGAAGTGCTTTAGTTAAGACATTTGCTAGTTTAGCTCCTGTAGGAATGTGATGAACTGAAATTTTTTCCACTTTCCACTTGGTCACGAATAAAATGAAAGTCAATTGCGACATGTTTCATTCGACTGTGAAAGACTGCATTATGGCACAGGTAAGTGACACCAATGTTATCGCAAAAATCCTGAGGGGGACAAGGTAGCTTGAATTGAAGTTCTTGCAGTAGCTTGGTTAGCCAATTTAACTCAACAACAACACTTGCTACATAAAGATCATCATAGAGATTGATTTGGTCATGTCAGTAGGCCACTCATAGAGATTACCATTACTCTTGCCTTGAAGGAGACATGCCCTCGTGCTCACATTCTTCAGAACAAAAGAATAAGGAAAAAATTCAATGGAAATTAGATTTTGCCTACAAAATTGAGCAACCGAAATCAACTTCTTTTTAATAGATGGAGAACAAAGAACATTTTTTCAAAGAAAGTTGGCAGCAAGATTAGGAGAAGATAAAAAGTAGTGTGACCAATATGAGTGATAGAAATTGTTTTACCATCACCAATAATTATCGCATCCGTTCCTTAGTTGGAGTCTGAAGAGAGTGAGAGTTGTTTGTAATATGATGCGACGGTCCAGAATTCACAACCCAAGGGCTTGGAGAATTGGAAGCAGAAGACTGACGGTTGACAAAATTAGCATATGCTTCAGTAGCACTGTGTGACTTGGACCTACATACGTTTGCAATGTGACCAAACTTATCAAAAAGTTGACATTGGACTCGTTGAGTGTTGCTTTTGGTGGTATTTTGCTGGGTGAATTAATTGTTATACGGGGTAGAAAATTGATTATAAGAGTTGTAGGAACCTGATGGAGAAGTGTTCCTACAATTAGAAGAGTTAGGCTGTCGATTTTTGGATCCATTATTGGTGGAATGCTGATGAAATTGAGCAGTGATCATGGGTTTGTTGACCTTTGATTCTGAGTGTTTGATGAACATCTCTTGTGCAAGGAGTTTATCAAAGAGTTCTTCGAATGTGATAGGATTATCACGAGCTTTTATTTCTGAAGATAACTCCTTGTACTCTGGACCTAGACCACTCAAGACCTTAATGACAAGTTCCTCATTGTTAACGGGTGAACCACTGCAGGCTAAATCATCTGCAATGGACTTGATTTCTCTCGTATAATCACTGATTGAGCGTGTGTCTCGTTTGACATAGGCCAGAGTATCGCACAAACTGAAAATTCTTGAGTGAGATTTGCTCGCATAAGTTGTTTGGATAATATTGTCACGACCCAAATCGAGCCGCGAGTGGCACCCACACTTACCCTCCTATGTGAGCGAACCAACCAATACAAAACCCAACATTTCAATATAATGACGGAATATAATGCGGAACACTTAAACTCATTACTGAAAATCAATTAAATAACTTCTAAAAACTCAACAACTATTATTATCCCCAAAATCTGGAAGTCATCATCACAAGAACATCTATCCTCAAATTACTAATCTAAGAGTATCTAAGAAGCTAAAATAAGTAAAAAGCTAGTCCATGTCGGAAGTTCAAAGGCATCAAGACATGAAGAAGAAGATCCAGTCCAAGCTAGAAGCTTTAGCTCACCCTGAAATATGGTGTGACGAAGACTGGCTAGTTGCGGTTGAGTTGAAGATGACGGTACGTTTGCTGCACTCCACAAATAACAAAGAAAAACAATTACAAGTAGGGGTCAGTACAACCACAAGTACTGAGTAGATATCATCGGCCAACTCAAAATAGAAAACAGTATATATCAGATAATATCATAAATTCAACTACAATACTCAACGGGTAGCAACAACAAGTACTATAATCATTAATAAGTACGCCAAGTACACCCATGAGGACGCAAGCCTCCATACTATACTCATTTGGGAAATAGGTTCATTAAATTGAGTATATTAACATCTTTCAAGATTCATTATCTTTATTTCTCTTGTGTCGGTACGTGACACTCCGCTCTGCTACTACTATGTGCCGGAACGTGACACTCTGATCCCCTAATTCTATGTGTCGTTTCGTGACACCCGATCCCCTAATTCTACGTGTCAATTCGTGACACCCGATCCCCTAATTCTACGTGTCGGTTCGTAACACCCGATCCCCTAATTCTACGTGTCGGTTCGTGACACCCGATCCCCTAATTCTATGTGTCGGTTCGTGACACCCGATCCCCTAATTCTACGTGTCGGTTCGTGACACTCGATCCCCTAATTCTACGTATCGGTTTGTGACATGTCGGTTCGTGACACTCGATCCCCTAATTCTACGTATCGGTTCGTGACACTCGATCCCCTAATTCTACGTGTCAGCTCGTGACACCCGATCCCCTAATTCTACGTGTCGGTTCGTGACACCCGCTCCACTAATCTCATTCTATTAATTCATCAAGCCTTATTTTATACCAAGGCATCATCAATCTCATTACTTTAGTTCATCAAGCCTTCTTTTATACCAAGGCATCATCAATCTCATTACTTTAGTTCATCAAGCCATCTCTTATACCAAGGCATCATCAATCTCATTACTTTAGTTCATCAAGCCTTCTCTTATACCAAGACATCATCAATCTCATTACTTTAGTTCATCAAACCTTCTTTTATACCAAGGCATCATCATTAACAAGGTAAATTTAGGATTAGAGATTCAATAGACTCATCATGCTTATTCATCACAATTATATAATCACATCATGTAGGCACACAATTAAGCATATAGAAAGTTTTACAATACTACCCAACACATATCATTCGCTATTAAGAGTCTACTACGAATAGCATAAAAACCATAACCTACCTCCACCGAAGATTCGTGATCAAGCAAGCAATTTTCCAAAGCTTTGTTTCCTCTTCGTTTTCCTCTTCTCTCGATCGTTCTCTTTCCCTCTCCTTGTTCTTTCTATTTTTCTTATTCAACCCTCTTTCTTTTACCCTAATTAGTATATAATTAAGTATAAAATATGATGAATTAACCCATTAATTAATTCAAGGTTATCTCCTTTAACCCTCAAGTAGTTAAATTATTAACATTAACCCACTAAATTTATAATTATAGCAGGAATAGTCCAAAACGTCCCTTAAAACATTTAAAGAAATCCGACCCAGCCTGGGATTACGCAGTCTGTGACGGCCCATCGTGCCTGCGATGGTCCGTCCTGCTGCTTCCGTCACAGAGTTCAGAGACTAGATTTTTACCAAGGGTCTGTGACGGCCCGTCACGCCTGTGACGGTCCGTCCTGCCATTTCGTCGCGAAGTTCAGAGAGTCGATCTCAGTACCCAAATTTCAGAATTCTAAGTGTTTTGAAACGAGACCCCCTCGACGGTTCGTCGTGCCCATGACGGTCCATCGTGGGATCCGTCGATCAAGACAGTTTTCCCAGGAATAAAATCTGCTGATCAAAACGACTAAACAGGTCGTTACAAATATCCCAAGCTTCTTTGACAGTGGAAGCATGGGCAATAAGGGGGGCGATTGTAGCATCAACGGATGCCATAATGTCATTGCGAATAAGACTGTTTTGTCGCTGCCACAATCTCAAGTTGGGGTTAGGAATTCGGGTATTGTCTTTGTCCATAATATGCATAGTTGGGATGAGAAGTGAACCATCAACAAAAGTAAGAAGTTCGTAGCAAAACAATAGAGTAGTAACTTGGGATTCCCAAGTTGGATAATTCACACTTTCTGTTAGCTTGAAGGATAGCTGAGACGCAGGGTTGAAAGAGATCAATTGAGAGGGCTGAATGACACCCCCTTGATTGAGAGTGACTGCTGGAGAGTTGGAAAAGGAGGAGGGAGTAGCAGACATTCTTGAAAAAAAGGAGTTGGAAGCTGGAAAAAAAGAAAAGAAAAATGATCGGATATACTCGTCAAAGTGTTTAGGAGGCTCTTGATACCATATAAGAGTTGTATATGATTATGAAATCGTTAAATATTATTGATACAATGTGTGACATTTATATATGAACAAGTATAGAAGATAAATGAGTCTATTGAACGTAAGAGACCTAAGAGAAGAGAAATAACTATGTATATAACAAAACATACTAACGTACTAGGACTCTATATCCTTATCCTTATCACACCATACATGCACTTGCAATTAATTTGTGATTGAGTTCTTCATCATGCATGCTCTTACATTTAATTTGTAATTATTTCTTTTGGCTAATTCATTATACAATATAATTAATAATTATTTAATTATCATGCTAATAAATAACTCATAATCTAAAAAATAATTGAAATATTATTACTTAATATTTAATTAATTAGGTTTTAAAAATATTTTAATTAACAATAAGGGCAAAACTGTAATTCAACTTTAAAGAAAAACCTTTCCAGTTATAATAATACTAGTTTCTGACAACATGCGTTGCACATTTATTTTTTACTATTGTTACATAATATAAAATTGTGCTATCAAATAGAAAATGCTTAGATAAACAATATTAATTTTACCAATTATATTTCATGTATCAATAAAAATAAATTAAAAGGGATTGCGTATTTGGCATCAAGCAAAAAGTATGTGAAATTAATTAATATAATATAGTCTTCTTTAACTTTATATAAGTCTTTTTTATGATCTAAATATCAGTGATAACCTTTTATAGCCATAAATGGATATTAAAAATACATACACACTTATTAATGAGAAACGATAGAGTGAAATATTTATATCATTTAAGGTTCTAAAATTAAAAGACAGTACTATCAAATTATACAAAATTAAAAGCAATTACATCTAAAATATAAAACTGACAGATATATAATTTAAACACTGAACTTCATACATACATCTATTTCAAAAGCTCATAATAATAGCTAAAAAATTACAACACCAAAATGAGTTTATTAGAAATGCAAAAAAAATTAGAAACAACAATAATCTTCGTGAAGGAGAATATATATCGAAAAAGATATGAGACTTAGGCAATGTCTAAAAAGAAGTCTTCAAGTTCTTCTCCCCACCTCATGTATTCTATTTTTTCATGTCTTTTTTGCCTATCATAGATGTAATAGTTTTTTAATTATCAGTTGAATGACAATATCTTTCATTTTTCAATGGTTATCACCTAGTTCTTAAATAGTAGTAAAAATGTCTGTTTAAATTCTATATTTTTCAGTTTTAAAATAGTCTTTAATATATAGAAAGATGAAAAGATGAAAAACGCAAATCATAGTTACACTTAATAAGAGAATTAACATTACCACTAATAATCATATATTATTATAAGAAGGAACAAAAAAAGTTAAAAGTTGAATTACAATTTTACCCTTACTATAAATTAAAATGTTATAAAACATTTAATTATTTAGTTTAAATGTTAAATTGTATCATTTTAATAAAAATGTAGATGACTTTTGCATTTCCTTAAATTAATTCTTAATTAAAATATAAGGAAATAGTTAAATGTTTGAAATGTGAAAAGATATATTTCAATTGTACATGTATATCCTAGAATAATTACTGGCATATGAAAAGAGTGATCCCCCATTTATTCGATTAATGCCACTTATTTTATTTATTTGATTTATTATTACTAAGATATTAAAAGTGTGTTATTATTTATGAATGAATTAGTAATAAATTATTGAGATGACTTGTAATTGCCTCAATTTATTAGTAATTACAATGATTTGTGGTTTTCATCTTTTTAATTATTCATTCAATCTAGACTAGATTTCATGTTATTACAAGATAAATATTAATAAATAATTTCATTGTAATTACTAATAAATATTAATAAAAAAATTATTTTAAATAATTTCAAGATAATAAATTAATAGTCAAGAGATAATTTTGTAATTTAACTTTTGACTTAGATTCTTCTCAATTTTAATATAATTAATTTCTAGACACGTGTCTCATCCTAATATATTAATATAGACTTCCTAAAATGAAGTATATAATACTCTATTCAGCAATTGAACAGTCATTAGTTGAAAAAAGTAGATTCAAATGCAACATATATTTGTAATGTAATATTATTCATCTGTCATGTAACAAAATGAGATACATCCTTGGAATTATTCTATATCTTCACGAAGATAGCAACTTTAGGTATGGTACTAATAATGTTTTAAAAATAAATATACATACTAAATAAGAATTGAGAGGCCACAAAGCATACAAAAATGACACTAAATGAAACCAATAAAGTTGGATTTACAATCAGACTCATGAAATATATACTCCATACTAACGAATTTGGTTCAACAACTACTCCCACGGTGATACTTTTTGGAGCAAGCTAAAAATACAAAGTGTGTGAAATAAATAAAATAAAAAATATTATCTATACACATTATTTCATAAACACAAACCAAATTTAAGCAGTAAACAGAAATTGAACTTGTTCAAAGGAAAAAAAATAATATTACCTTATGCTAGGGTAAACTCAACAAATTTGAGGGCGATAATAATCGCTTTTTGTGTAGTCTAATAGAATAGGAGTAAGAATAAAATGATAAATAAATTGACAGGGTGGTAACTTTATAAAGTGCAAAGAATATGAAATGAGTATAAGATTATATAACTGATTGAAGTTTAAAAGATAAAAGATATAAATGTTGTGATAGAAAAAGTTTGATACATTAGTTAAATGATCAAGACAATGTGGTTATTTTAAATATGATTAGGGATATTTTTGTAATTCAACTTTCAACTATGGAGCTTCCTACTTTTAGTATAATTAGTTTCTGTGCACGCGCGTTGCGCGTGTTTTCATTAATAATATTTTAAAAATTACATGTATATTTAGTTTTGAAAATAAAAGTAGCAAAAAAAAGCAACTAAGATTATTTTTGAAGAATTAAAATAAATAGTTGTTCATCAATTGATTAAACTATAAAAAAAAATGATATATATATATACACACATGCATATCGGCTAGAAAAAGTAATAATAAATCTATCTGACTATTCAAGTGAAGATTCATATATTTTGTGGTAGCTAAAATAGTTTTTATTCAATGATATCATATCAAAATGAAAGAATTTTTTTAAAAAAAATATTGATACTATATTTATATATGATGCATATATTTCTAATTATTTCTATAAAATAAATTAGTAAGTTCAAATATGAAGATACATATAAAGAAACATTACAAAAATACAAAAAATTATAAAAATAATTTTTTCAATACCAAACACATGATGCCATGAAGGCATACTACAAGATAATTTTATAACTCCCTCCAAATATACAAATAGCATCGCATTTATCTATAGTCGCAAGCAATTATAATTACAGTACATTATAAGAATAATCCAATTAATGAAAATTCTAAAATCAGTATTTCAAAGAAATCAACTTTTTCATTTTCATAGCTCATTAATTTCTGTTAGCACTCCTTACGGAGATAGTAATCTTCATATATCATTCAATGAATGTTGAATGTTGCATGTAAATCGATATGACAATTATTCAATTCCAACATGTATCAACTATACATGTTTCTCCATTTTCCATTTTCTAGTTCATGCAAAAGGAAAAATTTAAGGGAAAAGAAAGAAACTTAGAAGGAAGGTCAGATGCTCAACTAAAGAAACAAAACTTGAAGGAAATGGAAATCATTTGTTACCTTTATATAGTGCTTTTTTATGTTCTTTGAAATTCCTTTTGACATAATATTAATTAATCTACACTTAAATACTTAATGAACTATTCAAATTCTACTGATGTTATATTAACAAAGATTGATTACTAATTTAAAAGTGTTAGAATTTGATAAGTCAAGTTAAGAAAATGAGAAGAAAAATTATAGGAATTGTAAGAGTTTGATAAAGTAATACATGATGTGTTAATTAAAGCAATTAATCATGTATGACTCTGGGCATTAAAGAACCATTTTTCCACTTCCAAATCCTGTTCAATTTATGTAATTGAAAAATTAATTAATTGAATTTTATTTAACTTATACTTAAGGTGCACAAAATAATATTTTAATAATAATAATAATAATTCAATTGTGAGAGGTTAATACATATTAAATATTGTAATTATAAGTTGAATAAAAATTCGATTATGAATACAAATATATATTAGAGAAAACTTATTGAGAATTCTAATATTTGACTAATTAAATATTTTATAACATTTTAATTTATAGTAGGGGTAAAATGGTAATCCGATTTTGAAGTAAAAAGCTTTTCACTTTTATTATTATTATTATAAATAATAATAATAATAATAATAATAATAGGAATTAATCTAAGAAAATTCAAAAGTCATTACTGTTTAATTAAACTAATTATAACGTTTTAATTTATAGGAGGGTAAAATCGTAAATTATAATAATAATAATAATAATAGTAGTAGTAGGAATTAATCTAAGAAAATTCAAAAGTCATTATTGTTTAATTAAACTAATTATAACTTTTTAATTTATAGGAGGGTAAAACCGTAATTCAACTTTTGACTTGAGTTCTTCCCAATTATGAAAGTCGTGCAGAGGGTCGTTAAAAGTGTAATATTTTTTGTGAGATGCACAAGTCGTGGAAGTTTGTGTTGTTGCTTTCATTTGAATTGAACTATTCGTAGTTTTCCGCATTCACTTGTGATTGACCGAAAATGACCCTATGAAAATATTCCCATTAACAACAAATGGTTTTTTGACTGTCGATATTTAGAATCCTAGCAGAAGAACATGTTTACCATGAATCCCATTAACAACAAATGGTTATACAATTCAAGAACATGAATCCTAATAATTCTGATTATTGTACAGGCAGTCATATCCAAGAACTCTTTCTTGGAACAAAAGCACAAGTTGCTGCTCATGGGACGAGACGACAGGA